TTCGCTCACCGCTAGAACTACCGAGTAACTCACCACCGAACGATCAACGAGTCGCTCGGAAGTCGATGCAATTCAACAAAGGAAAATCGAAGAAATTAACATTTCAATTTCTATAATAATTCTACGTATGCAGAGGCTATAGAAAGAGCTTCGTTCTACAAGCGAGTGAATCCTTTAATAACTAAGAATTCATTCCATAAAAATTGGAAATCAGGAAACCGCATCGGCTTCCAAGCGACGCGATCCCAACAGATTTCTGTCGATTTCACACATCCATTACAGTGCTCCTATTTTCGAGATCTCGGTTCGTCACGTGTACGGTAACACCGGGTGCAAGTAAAAGGGAACCCGTCGAAGCGACGGTTGCGGTAGTTCTAGCGTCAAGGGTGCGCGTCCGTTTCGCGGCGGAGTCGTCGCGACTCGAGAGCACTTCTCTCGCGACGGTTTCGAACCGGACGCGACCCCTTGGGTCTCCCAGGTTTTCGTACGATCGTTCCCAGTGACCGCGCTCCCGACGCTACCACCCCACACTCTCCACACTACTCCACACTCCGAAGCGGAACCGGCGCGAGAGGGACGCGAGTTTGCACGCCGCGGCGCGGCGTACCCTCGAGGATAATCGGGGAGCGGCGAGACCCGGGGAGGAAGCGTTCTCGAGGAATCGCGCCGCGAACACCGACCGGCTCCTCTTGGCCCGCGGTTGTCCTCCGATTTTCTCGTTGACCTTTGCCGGTCCCGGAACTCGCGTGTCCGCGGACTGAAGGGTGTGCACGTGCGAGGTCTTAACCGCGTCCTGGCGAACCATACGGACACTCGCATCCACACCTACATCCACACACGCATATACGCACACACTCTCTCTATCTCTCTCTATCTATCTTTCTCTCTCTATCTCTACTTTTCTCTCTGTCTGTCTTTCTTTCTTTTTCTCTGTCTTCCTGTCTCTATCTCTCTATCTGTCTCCGTCTGTCTCTATTCTGTCTCTGACACGCGTACACGGAAACACACAGGAGAACACAGGAAAACACACACAGACACACACAGAGCGAAGGACACACGCCGTTGAACGGACGGTCGCCACACGCTCGTTCTCTCGCAGCCGTTCGAGAGAACGGAGAACCTTTATCTTTCTGGCCCTCCATCGCCTCTGCCTTTGCCTCTGCCTTCGCCTCAGCCTTCGCCTTTGCCTAAGACTTCGCCTTTGCCTACGCCTACCGCCTACCGCCTACGCCTTCGCAATCGCATTGCGTCCGAAGACCCGTCGAGCGGGATGTTCCGAAGGAAGATCGATAGCAAGTCGAAGATTCGAATGGAGAATCATTGGAACCGCGACGCGTACCGAACGGAAATGAGCGAAGAAAGTCGCTCGATTCGAACGGGAACATCCCTCTCGACCCCTGTCGAGATGTCTCCTCTTCAACGACCGAATTATCCTCGCCTACGCGCTCATGCCATTTCTTTCACCGTCTCTCCGACTCTACCCTTTCTCTCTATCACTCTCTCTTTCTCTATCTATCTGTCTGTCTATCTCTACAGACACATCTCTCTCTTCCTCTCTTTCTCTTTCTCTATCTACCTGTCTGTCTATCTCTACAGACACATCTCTTCCTTTCTCTCTCTCTCTCTATCTACCTGTCTGTCTATCTACATACAGACACATCTGTCTCTTCCTTTCTCTCTCTGTCTCTATCTCTTTAACCGTTTCTCTCTCGGATAGACCTAGTACTCTGCAACGAGGTGCATGACGAAGCGCATGGATCCGCGTGCAACGCGACGGCATACGGGTTCCCCAGGATGCCGCAAAATTCTTCTCGCGATCCCCTCTCGATGCTTCTCTTTTCTAGATACTCCCTCACACTCTCTCTCATTCTCTATCTAATCTATCTATATCTATCCATCTGTCTCTTCGCCTGTCTTTCTCTTCCGTTTCTCTCATTCCCCGTCGGTCGCGTCGGCGACGACGGGAGAAGTCAGTCCGCGTCCTACGTTCCGCGGGGATAGCCACGCAGAAGGACGAATTTTGCGAGCAACCTGTACGGAAAGTAAGGTAGAAAAGTAGAAACACGGTGTAGCAGAAGCGGTAGGGGTGTTGCTTGCGCGCCGTTCCGTGCTGGAACCGCTCGTCCGCTCGCGCTCGTTCGCTGGCTCGCCGCGGCTTGGATTTACGGGGCCCCGGGAGGGGAGACGATCGACCTCTCGATCCCCCATCAGCTCTCTCTTCCTTCCGTTCGCTCCCATCGCGTAAATCCGAGGCCCGCCGAGACTTCCGGTCGGCGGCGAACGACACGCTCGCTCGTTCGACCGTCGCGTATCGCGCATGTCGGCGCACGAGGGACCGCATGAGACCGCATGAGACCGCATGAGACCGCATGAGACCGCATGAGACACGCATGAGACCGCGCGAGGGAACATAACATCCGCCGGAGTAACTTTGCGCTGTGGAAACCGCACGAACACGCACGAACCTGAGAGATGCAACTTGCACGCTGCTGTACGACGACGCATGCTGTACGTCGGCTGAGAGAAGACGTTTACTTTGGCTCGATCACACTGTACCTTGTCGGCGAGGACGAGACCGCTGACTCTTCGGTTCGGAGTCGCGCGAGAGAATCGCGAGAGGATCGCGAGACGATCGGGATCGCCGTTCTCCCCTGTCCTCGAACGCGAACGCCGACGTCCCGGTACACCGCGGGGAGAGTCTCCGTCTCTTCGACGGGTGAACCGGCATCCGGGGATCGGCGGATCGGAGGCATGCGCGCGTAGCTGACCGGACCGAACCGCGGAGACCGCGTGTACCGGAAGTTCCGCGAGTAACCGAGACCACGGCGGCAGGCAATGTTGACGCTTCGCTTCAGTAAATAGTTGACCTCGCAGCCGTTTAGAGGTAGCAGCGACAGAGTATGATCGGCTTGGGTCCTGTGCGATTTTGCGAGAGGCTCGGCGCTTTTCCTTTTCGATCCAATCGTCGTGCCGGACGGACGCACCGCGGGGAGGGGCCGTTTCGTGGACCGTTCTCGGACGCACGACGGAACCAGCTTTTTTCTTTATCGTCATCTCTTTTCTTCGTTTCCTCCGGCGAACTCGTTGAAAGCTGCCGGGCCAGCGTTTTCGGGGACCAGACAAAAACTCCGTTTCGAGAGGACGAAAAATGGAACGGCGGAACGCTGCGGTTGATCCGTGCAATTTCTTTTGTCGCGCTCTCTCCGCTTCTCGTCGACGACATTCAACCGTAACGAGGAGGAAACCGTTAGCGAAATAGACAGTCGTTAGTTACGAGCTACCGAATGCGCGTTAAACGATAACGCTATCGGCCGGGACGTCCCATTCGCGGAGTTCATTCGATATTGTTTATTTCTCTGTCTCTACATAGTGGACCGCGATCCTGTTTCGTTTCGCGTTGCACTTATGCACCTGGGTTCATGAAATAAATCGAAAAGACTGGAGTTTCCAGTTGCGCCGCGATCACCGCAACACTCCTTACAGCGAGACGCGTCGCGTAGTCGCCTCCAGATCGCGCCCCGACCGTCTCTCGCCGGTCGCCATTTTGTCGGCCGTCTCGAAGTGTCTCTCGAAAGAACAGGAAAGCAGACGAATTCACTTACCAACGCGCGTTGTAAAGTACAGATCACTTGAAACTCGACGCGCGTAATTTATTCGGGAAACTGGGAATACAAGTACCGGGGAATTTGTTCGGTTGTCAATGAGAATCTCATCGTAACGAAACGGGAAGGATAGAGGCAAGGGTATAGGGAAGAAATCGTCGATACGAGGGAGCGATGTTCGCATCGAAGTCGAGCGCGCCGGACAACCGCAGGAAAATCGCTCGTTAACGGTCCGTCGATCGAACTCGCGGAGCGAGAAAAGAGAAACGAACGCTCGGGCCCGACGCGCGATAGTGTAATTAACGTAGACGTTACACGGCATGTAATTCGTAAGTTACCCATGTACGCAGGGGCACGAGAGTGTTGATCGACATACCATAACATCGTGTTACTATTCATTTAAGAGAGAAACAACGATTCACTTTTCGACGAACCCGCGAGACAGTTGGATCGAGAATATTTCCGGATGTTCGGAGTTCGGGAGCGATCCGCCGTCGAAAGCGACTCGCGCCGCCGGTGCTCGTCGTCGGACGTTCGATCGAAAGTGCTTTGTTTTCCCGTGGTATGTACTAGTCTGACGATTAGCGGTTTCGTTTCGCTTGCTTCCGACGTTGTGCGAGCTTCTCCTAACAGATACGTGTCTCGATCGAACGCCACCGGCGACACCGCGACTCGAATCGTCTCGGAGCGGTTCCCCGAATTTTCCGAACTCTCCGAATTTCTCACGCCTATACGTGCAAGCTTGTCCGCCTCGATCAAAGCGCCTCCATGTCACGCTTGACTTACCTGTACGCTTGTCATTCTCGAACGATCGGTCACCACCGTAAGGTGAATCGATCCGGAACTGTCGTTTCCGTCGCACAGCGCGGCCTCTGGACAACACCCGAAAATTCGACTGTTACTAACGATTCGCTAAGTAGTCGATCTTCAATTGAAAAATCAAAACTTTGCAAGTAAATCCCGCTTCTTTCGTATAACGCTCGAAACATCCATTGTCATCGAAAGTTCCTAACATCCCCGTAACTTGAACAAAAATATAATTACCATATAATTACCTCACTTGTCGAAGCATTTCCATCGCTCATACTTTCATCGAGTGTTGTCCAGGAAACGCTTCGGCCGCACTGTGCGTCGGCCCGAACGGATTCGCGTAGAAGTTAGTTTCCCTAGCCCGTTTCGATCGGCCGATCGATCTGCGTCCGATCCCGCGACCGAGCGTATCGCCGCTTAACCGATCGGCCGGCGATCTGACACGTTCGGTAGAAAAGAGAAAAGAAAAGGAGAGGGGCGGGGATGAAAAGAGAACGGAGAAGTTGGTCGAAGGATGGATCGTTGTTTGCACGAATCACCGTAACGCTATAAGTTTCTTCTACGGAGACCCTGTCGCAGGGTAAAAAGAAGCGAGAGGGCGGTCCGCCACCCGGAGCTACGACAGGACCGAACGAGATCGTGACCTGCACCAACTGTGGACCTAATCCTTGCACGCACACGGCCACCAACGGATGCACCGCCGAGGTATGTTAATTGCCTATTCCTGTCAACCTCGAAGCATCTAGCGGAATCGATACGCCCCGTCGCTGCCAATCCACCCTCTCCCTCTCGCCTCTCGTTCCTCGGGGAAACCTCCTGTTCGTTTCGTCGTCGAAATTATAGTCGCCGCCAGGATTTCAGGAATTCCAAGGAAATCGTGTTCTCGTCGATTCCCTTGTCTCGAAACGAGTTCACGTATCTTGGCGACGACTGTACCGACGATGGAATCGTGTCTTACTAGGGAAGCACTTCGATTGTCCAATATATTATACATATTCATGGTTCGTTATTGTTTCGTAGAATTCGATGCCTTTATTTAATGATACAACTGATACATTTATTAACCCTTCGGTGACTCGTTCAACGCTCGATTTCCTACAGTAAAACTATCAAATTCGATATTTAACCTTTTGCACTCCGTTGACATTGTAAGGTAAGTTTATAACTTCGTTTTTAGTCGAACATAACTTTGAAATGTACACGCGCTTTTTTAATGACAAAGCAGACTCTTATCTTTTACAGAGACACGCTCGTAGCTGATAGTTCATATTAAAACTGATTCGGAGTTGCTGGAAGGTTACATTAAAAATTGCTCGGAGTGCAAAGGTCAATATTCCACTTCATACGATGCATCAATTTGAAATAAAATAGCTTTGCTCCTCTGTATAAAACGTTCAAATATTTCTAGAACTTCCGGGAGTAAAGGGTTACATGAAATAAATATTGACAGAAACATTTTTGAAACAATTATATTATCAAAACATTACAATAGCTTAATAACTATTGCCTTTACATAATTTAATCCTTGTATCTCAGAATTCGGGCCCAGGCGGTAAACATCCTCCAAACAAATACCTCGCGACTACCTGCGACCCGAATTAACCCCCGAGGTCAACCCGTGACATTCATGTTTCGTTGAAACTTCCGAATACGAGTCAGTCTCGTGATATTTATACACACTACGATCCTGTTTACGCCTGGCCCGACATTCTCACCGGGTTCAATCGAATGAAAGTCGGACAGTCGGTGTTCTACCTTGCTAGAAGAAGCGTGTCGCGTCCCGTCGACGGAGCCCGACGCGTGACCGTCTCTCTGTTCCAGCTGAGGAAAAAGGAGCCGCCGCACCCGATACGAGTGGCGAAGACGATCGACGTGATAGCGAGAATCACCTTCCCGGTCGCGTACTTCATGTTCCTCACGTTTTTCTTCATCCACTATAAGGGCACCTCGTAGACCGGCACCGGGAGGCGATCGTCGAGAGGGATCCCACCGTCGATCATCGGGACCGACGAAACCAGACTGTCCGTGTCTCGCGTCCCGCGCAATTGCCGTGCGACACGTCTATCATCCGTCGCCGCTGCCTTCGACCGTCGGGCTCGGCGACGAGCTCAGCGGTGAAGAGAGAGAGAGAGAGATCGGCCAACGACCGGGCCGACCGAAAAAAAACTGAACGCGACACCGAAAGAGAAAGGGGAACGAACTCTCGATTAACGCATCGTATCGTAATCTAACGAATTGTATCTCGTATCTGCATCGTATCGCATCGTATCGCATCGTATCGGTGGATTTAGCCTTTTCCTCCCTCGTCTTTACTCACCACACGCGATTACGGTTAAGAGCACCACGTTTCCCGACGATCACACGCGAGTATTCGCGCCCGACGGTGAACCAGTGGATGGAGAACCTGCTGCGAAGGGGCTGTGCGGGGAAGACGGGCGAAACGGACGCGCAGCGTATCGGTTGCCGGGAACCTGGCACTCGTGACGTCACAGGGGCGGGTACAGTCGCCCCGGGAGATCCAATCGCGAGCGCGGAGACGATCCTCCGCGCCCTCTGCCGGGCGACGCGATTGGCGCGCGCGAGCGCACCAATCAATCACGCATCGGAACCGGAGATCCGCGCGAGGAAGGCGTGCGCTTTCGAATCCGACCACTCGGACGGGAGTGCCAGGTTCGTTGCAATGGACGGTACTTACATACGCGACGTACACCCACAACACAGACACACATAGACGTACACACGCGCTCGTTTCTTTACTTCTTTTCTTCTCTTGTCGGAGATCTAGTCACGCTAATTCGAGGACGCTTCTGACAAACTTAGCTAAACGAATCAAACGTTCGTACGTATACTTCTATATACACTCGCGCGAGGGACGAAGGAACGGTGTTACACACACACACTTACCCTGTCGTTATTAATCTCCACTGGCGTAAGGATACATAGGAGGTAAGGTCGATGCAAGTGTCGTCC